AGGGGGGGGGGGGGGGGGAGCGGGAAGTAATCATTTGTACAGTTGATTGTCTTGGACATGTGGTCATTTGTACAGGTGATTATCTTGGGCTGGTGGTCATTTGTACAGGTGATTGTCTTGGATAGGTGGTCATTTGTACAGGTGATTGTCTTGGACAGGTGGTCATTTGTACAGGTGATTGTTTTGGACAGCTGGTCATTTGTACAGGTGATTGTCAAGGACAGGTGGTCATTTGTACAGGTGATTGTCTTAGACAGGTGGTCATACAAGCAGGTTTGACTGTACTTAACTCAACGACTCAGTGCTGGAATACATCTGTCTCGGCAAAACGAAATCCGATAAGCAGGGCTGAACCCCTAAATTACCTAGATTGTGTTAAAGAGGGGTTGTAAAACATTCACAATTACTCATTGCTACCCTGGAGTTAAAATGTTCTATCTGCTCCGAATCTAGTTTTGAGAAACTTGACGTTAAAAATTAAGAGTTTCACAACATGATTAAGCTGTATCAAAAGCAATTCTTTAGATATCTTGGTAACAATTCTGATTAATATTTCGATTTTGATACAGCAGATAGGACACTTGGTTTCTGACCTCGTGGTCTTTGTAACTCAAAATGGCCAAAAATGTCACATAGAATCTAGAACTTTGCAATTCTTAGGTAGCGATATATAGACAGCGAACGATCTGGTCAGTTTGTTAGTGTTTCAGCATTCATTCTACTGTTTGCACTCTATGCACAGCACTTGTTACACAATAAGGTCATATAAGTGCCGAAGATTACAGGTGTTACAAGAGAGTAACAAAAATACAAAAAAGGAGGTGAGATAAGGACGACAGATAGGAACGAAGGAGCAAACTACACCAGAGCACCTGAAGCAAAAGAAGAAGACAGAGACGGCAAGTACATGAGTAATTGTGCAACAAGATTTGAAGCAGGAAAATGCTTATTTTAAATTTTGAAAACAAACCTTCAAAAATCAAAACACTGTTTCAGTCAATTTTATGTATACTATAAATTCAGAATATGAGCTTGCCATTAAAACCAAAAACTCACAAATATGATCAGAAAAAGTCTTAAAAGCTCAATGTTTTCAAAGCATATTCTGGCTGCCTCACCTTCTGAGAATGATTCATATGCGATCTTACCCTCTTCCCCGATGGCAGCTTTCTTGACCCGCTCGTAGATGGCAGCCTCATCGATGTCCACGCTGTCGTCTGCCGCTAGCTCATGCACCGCGTCCCAGTTGAACTCTCCACTGTCCCTGGTGGGTGCGGAGGTCAAGCTTTGGTTGTTGTTGGCGTTTCTTAGCTCTCTCTTCCTCCGCCACGCTTCAAGGTCATCAAACCCGTCGTCATCGTCAAAGTGAAGTTTCTCATTCACCCACTGGGTCAGGAGCTCTTGAGCTGCGCTCACACAGATACAAATACCCACAAATAGATGAACACAGTAGCAAAGAGCAAGAAGTTGAGTGAAAAGAAGCACAATGACACAATAATCCACAACTAGAGCTGAGAAAAAGCAAGGCAGACAGACAGAAAGAAAAAAGTGACAGTGAAGAAGTCAACCTACCAGTGACACCCTCAAAGCAATCACACAGAGCTGAGAGGAAAGACAGTAAATTAAAACGAAAGCTAGATCAGCAGATTTTCTATTTTAGTACAGAAATTTTAGAATTAGAGCACACACACACATATACACACACGCACATACACACACACACACAGACACACATAAATACATGACAAACATACATGATGATACAGTACACAAGAGAAGAAAGAACATCTGATAAAAGCATATTTTTGTAGTTTCAATTACTATTCCCTTCATTGAATTAAAGTAACTTAACTACTGACACAGAAACACACACATATATATATATATATATATATATATATACACACAAAGATGAATATACAAAGACACAAACTTCAGAAATCATATACAGCTCAATTACAACAAACAAACAAACAGCTGAGGGAAAGAAAGGAAGCAAGACCTGCCAAAAGCTTCTTACAACAACCCAGCTGACAGAGAGATCAATCTGCTGTCTGACACTTTTACTGCCATTATTTTGAAAAGTGCAGTATTTTATGCAGTTTTTACAATTTTACAGGAGAGCCAACAAAACCCCCCCCAAAAAAACAACTGAATGTTGTTACCTAGATAACAGACTCTTTGCAAACATACCAAGTCAATATTTTAAAGTACAAATGTATATAATTTTGATAATAAATTCATTACTTTTAAAGCAAATGTTGTTTTCTTGGTGACATCATTCAGTTTTTTGGCACTCCTGTAAAATTGTTTTAAAAATGCATATACTGTACTCT